ATATATATATATATATATATATATATATATATATATATATATATATATATATATATATATATATATATATATATATATATATATATATATATATATATATATATATATATATATATATATATATATATATATATATATATATATATATATATATATATATATATATATATATATATATATATATATATATATATATATATATATATATATATATATATATATATATATATATATATATATATATATATATATATATATATATATATATATATATATATATATATATATATATATATATATATATATATATATATATATATATATATATATATATATATATATATATATATATATATATATATATATATATATATATATATATATATATATATATATATATATATATATATATGCTCAGAACTTGTTATGGCAAGCTACTGCCGAGCGGTGCGCCGATTTCGTCTGCGTCTGTGAACCGTATCAGATCAGGAGTGAATGGTTCGTGAGTCTGGATTCTACATGTGCTGCCTGGTTCCGTCCTTCTCCTGCTTGTTGTAGGAGTTGTAGCGGAACCATATCGCGTACCGGATGACCCAAACTGGATCACGGTTGGGGAGAAAAGGGACGCGACGGTAATTTACCGTGAGTAGTAAATCATGTAGCAATTATATAATATAATATATCATTCATTAAAAGGGTACTAACTGTAAGCAAAATATACATAATCTAAAAATAAAATATGTCTCATTTCGTAACTGCTGTTTTTTCGCAACTTTCCTGCCAGCAATACAAATAAATGCAATCCTACATTTTTTGCACATGTGCGAAAAAGCCCGTTAATTTTTCATCACATGACGTGGTTCGCGTGACTTTAATTCGCGTGTTTTTTAATGTCATCTACAAGAAGCAGCGCTGACGAAATGGAGCAAAATCGAAAAGGAAAGTATTTCAAAATAAATGGTTAAGTTTGAACATTTTTAAGGATTGGTTAACAGAAAGTAATGATAAAGTTCTCTGCACGGCTTGTAATAGAATTCTTGTTTGCGGTAAATTAGAGTTAATTATGGTAAACATTCCCAATACAAAGATGCACATTAAAAATGTTAATAAAGGCCCTAATATCGTTCCATCTGCTTCATTATCTAAGCTCACTGTTGAAGGTAATGATTATATTACAAAACAGTGCAGAAACTTATAGAAAGATTGCGGAAATTAGTGCAAGCGGTAATATCTAACTGCGGTGGATACGTTGACAAATCCCGTATTTAATTTTAATAAGTTATTAAATAATTCATATTTATCTTAATTACATTTGTATGTTTCAGGTTTCGATTTTAAGTAAGTAATGAAGTGATTCATAACTTGTCTTAATTACATTTGTATGTTTCAGCTTTTGATTTTAAGTAAATTATTTAAAATAGGTCATTAAATGAATCATATTTGTCTTAATTACATTTGTATGTTTCAGCTTTTGATTTTAATACAGTATATTCAGTATATTAGGTTAACATTAAGGACCGAGCTTGTGGGTTGAAGGGTGGGCCAGTATCGCGTGTGCAAAACGGTTTAAAGTGGCCTTTCTCTGTTTGCATCCGAAAGGACCAAAAATGGCCGTTCCAAGTGCAGCTGAATACCTGCATAAGTAGCGGGAATTCGTTAAGAAGTGGGTACAACGATATAAAGACACTAAATGCGTGGACAACCTTCCAGATCAAGGTTCAAATCGTACGATCACAGCAAGAGAAAATACGGCGATTTTTTTACTTTTTCAAAAAATCTACAACTTTCGATACGTAATGGCCAAGCTATCTTGGCAAGAAAAGGCATAAATATTGATATAATGACATTAAGACATCGATTAAAAGAAAATAACATTACATGGCATAGTACAATGGCAAACCCTCTGTTTTCAAGAAAGCATGTCAAAAATCGGTTGGCGTGGGCTCATTCAAATATTGATTACAATTGGAGTGATATTGTTTTTAGTGATGAATCTTTATTTTGGGCTTAATCTCCCATCAAACATGCTTGGTTAATTCATGGCAATCCCGTAATTCAAAGGACTGTAAAACATCCATTAAAGGTGTATGTGTAGGGATGTTTTAATGCACGTAGTTTCGGGACTTTATACATTTTTACAGGCAATTTAAACGCTCAAAGAATGATAAAATTATACCAGAGGAGACTATTGCCATCAATAAAACGGTGGTTTAATCAACCCGGTGATAGATGGCTTCTACAAGAAAACCACGATCTAAAACATCGGAGGCGCGTGTGTACCGAATGAAAGGCGAGAAACGACATCATGATGCTGCCGTCTCAGACCCCTGATGCAAACCCGATAGAAAATATTTGGGCTATTATGAAGCAGAAGTTTTAAGGAAGACGCAGTGCAACATTGAAAGCGCTAGTAACCAAATAAGTCGTGAATTGACCCAAAAATGAACTGCGATCATAAAACGATTCTCAATTATCTTCATTCAATGGGATTTGCTGAAAAATTGGGAGCTTGGGTGCCTCACGAACTTAATGAAAACAACAAAGAAAATTGCCTTCCAACTGCTTCTCAACATCTCGCCCGCCATCGAGCAACACACGGTCATAAACAGCGCTTTTTGTACTAAATCGTCACGGAAGATGAGAAATGGTGCCTACACATAAATATGAAGCAAAGAAAGGAGTGGGTGCCTCCAGGAGATACGCCAAAGTCGAGAGTCAAGCCTGACCTCCATCCAAATAAGATCATGGTCTGCGTTTGGTGAGACTGGGAGGGCATGGCGCACTGGGAAATACTCAAAAGG